CATAATGGCCATTTAAGTTTCCATATCCATACTAAACACATACTGTTCATTGACTTGTTTGGCATTCTACGAGAAAAAAAAATTTCTATGGGCCACGGCAGTTAGAAAAATTGTAGGCATAGCCATGTACAAACTGAGGATTCAGGACCACAATATTGCATTCAATTAGATTGTGGGGGGGGGAGCTCTACCACCTGTATCTTCTGTCCCAAAGTATTTAATCAAATTTAAATAAATTCATATACTCTAGACTTAGAGTTGCCAAAGATCAAGGTTCACTGGCAACAGAAGATCCTTCGATTATTATGAAAAAATCCATGCTATTCATAATATTTATCAAATTAACATTTTTATTAGGTGTCAGTATCTCATTTATTAAGAGAAAGAATATGTTTCTCACAAATTCTGATCTTCGAAATATCACCACCTTCCACAACTTGAAAAACATCTGCCATTTTCAAGGTTTTACAAACACTTGTTGAAAAGACCACTGATAAGTTTACAATAGTAGTGTGAAATTTTAGTTATCCCAAGTAAGTATATACTGGAAATTTTTTGAGAAGCGAGGAGTTTCACGACTTTCAAAATTAATTCAAATGAAATTTTTTAACTGAGCCTGATTTTTGCTTTGGGTAAAGAAGGATCATTAGAAGATAGAGTTCCAAGGGAACCACCAGTGCCAACCACTTAAAAATTTACCTCTCCCATATGATAGCATTTACTCTTATAAGGAAAAAAAAAAAAACTGTCACGTTTCATTCTAAGGAAGTCACTCAGATTAGCAGAATTCCAATGGACACTGAGGCCATGGACGAAAAAAGCATCCAAAAGGCTCAGTGATTCCAAAACCCAGGTTTGCTGCCATTTCAGGGACGCCCCATAAGTACTCTTCCTCTGCAGACTTAGAGTTGACCCCTCATGTCTGACAACCCCTAAGACATAAAATTGAGAAGAAGTTATCACTTTCCAAAGTTAGGTGGGGGCTGGGGGGGGGGGAAGCAGTATGAGAGATGTTTGAGAACCGACACGCTTTGCCTTCTGAAATGCCTCATATTTACTTTTGACAAAAGAAATCAATAGAAGCAAAACCGAGATTCAGAAGGAACTCTCTCTGCTGCGTGCACCGGTCGAGCTTTTCAAGGACCCCTTAGAAAAGAAGCGGGCTGGAGGCTCACCTTCCATCTCGCCGCCGGGCTGGGCTGGAGTTGCGCTCTGGCTACCCGGCCGCTCCACGTGCTCCTGCCGTCGCCGGGACGCAGTGCGCAGCTGGCGGGAGATTCCCGGCGCGGGGAGTCCCCGGGATCCGGCCGCCGCGTCGGCGCAGACTGAAAGGGGCAGGAGCCGGCGACCCGCCGGTGCGCGGGGTTACAGCGGCGCTGGCTGGCGGCGGCTTTAAAGCACGCTCGCCGCGGAGCTCCCGAGGTTCCGCACCTCCAGCCCCCTTTTGAATATCAAACCCGAGAACCAGATAGGATGGAAATGGCGCATCAGTAAATTGTCCCAAAGTGTCCATTCGGAGAAGGATAATGGATGGGAGAGTAATATATGGGGGGGAGGGACGATCTGGATTGTTTTCTTAGAAGTTTAAGTTCAAAGAGGTTTGTCTTAAATTGAAAAGATCTGGAACTTTTGGTCTAGACTCGGGGATGATAGCCATGAATACCGTCAAAGAGAACGCACTCCATTCGAAGTATTATGTTTTTCTTCTCTGTTTTTCTTTTCACATGATAATTCTTGGTCCAAGTTTTCAGAAAATTCTAAGACAGTTCAAAAGGATTTGGGCACTTTTATCAACTCAACTTTTTCATTTCGGAGAGCAAAAATTCTCTCACTTTTGTTTTCCCTTCTGGGAACTGCTTGCCACCACTCACAAAATACTGTGCACTTTATTTATGTGTTTATTTTCTACTACTCTGCCTTCTTCCAAGTAGGATCTGAGACAGCTTACAAAAATACATATACATACATATATCAGAAAAGTAAGTAAAGAAAATAGAGCTAAGGGGAGGGTGTGATAAGATAGTAAAATTAATTCAAAGATATTACTGCACAGAAACATACCAGCCAACATCTTTCCTTAACATCTTCCTGCTTTATAGAGGTAAAGCACAAATTTGACTATAGGAAAAGGAAAGGGGAAGTGCCCATATAACAAGTTTTCAAAAGCAGAATTTTTCTTTACATTGAGGTCTAAGGGACATTGTTCTGGTGAATCCTTATAAAGATATCCATTGTGTTGAATTGGACAACATGTGAATGATGCTCAAAAAGGTCACTTCCACCCTTGTTAGAAAATTGTATTGTTACTGTATAAAAATATAATTCAGACTTAAGTTTGGGGGGTTGTGCTTCAGCAGACCATATCAGAAGAAACCCACACTTACAAGTTAAAGTGTCCATGTTGTAATTTATGAATTTTAGTTTATTTTAAATATGCCTTGGTATAGAAGGCCAACATATGTGTGTGTATCTATATACATACACATTTATGTGTGGTGGGTGATATTTTTTAATGAGTAAATAACTTGCATTGGCTTTGTTTTAAGATCATGACACCATGGTAGTATCTCTGTAGATTGTATGGGTTGGAGTTCTACAGGATAGTATCAATTTTGGAGAAATACTCTAAACACCAGGTCTAATTATAGTATTGAAAGGGGAAATTTGTTGTTTGTTAGTTTCTAAAAGCAAAAATAGCACATCAAAAGTAGCAGAAGAGGAACTGTAAAATTTCACAGGGATGGTTTAAGGATGAATAGTTATTTGGTTGTTAAAAGGATGTAAACACTGTTATTATACTTAGCAGTGGAACGTGTTACTACTCTGTAAATAATTAGTTCAAAATGGAGTATTTCAAACTCCAGAGAACGGTACGTAGGAGAACAGATAAAAAGTAGGTGGATGAAATAAATTATGTAGCTACTCCACCCTCAAGGAGGTGGAGCATAATCCCCACTCCTTAGTGTGGGCTTCACATAGTGACTTCCTTCCAAAGAGTACAGTATGTAAGGGAGGGAAAAGAGTAATTTTCAAGTAGAGAAATCTGACAAACACTACCTTAGCCAGGTGATCAAGGTGACATCAACAGTGATAAAACGTGTTGATAGTATGTACCCTTAATATGATGTTATGGGAATGGCACTTTATCTCTATAGTCTTCTACCCAAAAATCTATAACCTTAGTAGAATAATGAGAAAACATCAGACAAATTCCAATAGAGAGGCATTCTGCAAAGTACCTAACCAGTTAAGGTCGGGTAATGTAATCAAAATTGTCATTAACTGTGAAGATAATCAAAACAAGAAATGTCTGAGAAAGTCACAGCCAAGAAGAACCTAAGGAGACATGATGACTTAATGTAGTGTGGGAGTCTGGATGGGATTCTGGAGCAGAAAAAGGACATTAAGTAAAAACTAAGAAATCTAAATAAAGTATATGCCTTATTTAATAGTAATGTATCAACACGGGTTCATTAATTGTGAGAAATGTACTATACTAATGTAAGACGTCATTAGTGGGAAAAACTAGGTGGGAGTACACAAGAACTCTGTACTATACTCACAAATTTTCTGTAGATCTAAAGCTGTTCTAAAATTAAAAGTTTATTTTAAAAGAATGGAGGGTTACTTTCAACAAACTACTACTCATTTGGTTAAGTCTCTTCTCACAGTATTCAAAGTTTATCACACAGGATTTATAAGGATCGATTACTTCTAATAACTGGGAAACTAATAAAACACTGTGCGTTTATAATGTACTTTGACTAAAACTGGAATATCAAACCGCTAGGGAATTAAAGATAATGCCTAAATTTGTCTTCATTATCACCACCTCAAGAAGGAAGGGAACAGTTGAGACTAAGCCATGAATCTAGACACAGTAACTGACATGGGTGGATCTGACTCACCGAATCACATCTTATGGCTTAAGCTATGTAGGTATAATTAACAGTGACTAAAAATGAAATCACTGACAAAGGTTGCTCCTGGACTATCTGAGATAGTCCTAGTACTGACTTGGCTCAAAGGAAATAAAACTGAAAACTCTTGATCTCACCTAAAATAATCATTCTGCACCCTGTCTGAACCTTGGTCTCTTTACCCACCAGCCTACTCAAAACCAACCCCGAGGATGTCCCGCTGCTAAGAAATAGACAACAAACAGGCCACCAAGCTGGTCGCCAAGAAGGAACCATGAAAGACGCGGGCATGTTCTCTTTCTGAGCTCTGTGATCTTTACTCATCTGTCATCCGTCCCCACAGGAAAAGCAGACTTGGGGGATCTTGCCTTTCTATTGGGCCCATTTTCAAAAGCAAGGTTACTTCGGGACCCTAGATAAATTTGAATGGGGGCCTCCCAACGCCGCCGTCTGATACTTGATGTGGAAATTAAAGGTTAAATGTTCCTCTAGCGTGGGAAGGGCTGGAGACGCCTTGTTGGCACACGAGGGGTTGATCTTCAGGTTCTTCGTTTGGGGGGTATAAAATGCAGTTAGGTAAAAATTGGGTGGACGAGTTTGGAAAGGATCCCGCACACAACTTCAGGCAGAATTCATGAGAAGCAAGGCACCGATATTCCCACAGGCTCTTTGCTTCCTGTAAGGAGGAAATTCTCACACGCGGCTCCCTCCCTCCGGTCCTAATGTAATTGCATCCTTAGTCGCCTTACCCCATCGTCCTATTTGGGATCCACAGTATTCCTCTCGTGAATCTCTTCAGCCTCCAGAAAAGGAAAAAACCGAAACGCGAAGGCTTGGCTTCTTTAACATTACTCTCTCCTTCTCTCGGGGGTAGCGAGGCGGGTCTACTCAGAGAACTAAGTCACAGAGACGGCGGGAAAATGGCGCCAGGCGCGAGGTCCTCGCACGAGGGCGGGCGCGTGCGCGCGAGGGGGCGGGGCGCTCGCCTCCTGTGCTCTGGCCCAGCACGCGCCCGCCCCGCCCCCGCGCGCGAGGCCCCAGAGCGCGCACGCGCTCTCCTGTGCGTCCGCTCCAGCTGTCGCGACGGACCGGTAGGGGAGCTGACCCCGGCGGTTTGCTCCGCTCTGTGGAGGAGAGATGGGGAGGCGCTGGGCCTGGGCTGAGGTAGGAAGGAGCCGGCCCCTCGATGCCTCCCGCGACGCTAGTCCCTGAGCCGTGATGCGAGCGTGGGTCCTACTCTCCGCGGTGCTCTGGCACCTCACTGGAGGTGGGGCTCCTGCCGCCTGCCCCTCCCCCGCCCACCCGCCTCGCCCCCTTCCCAGTCCTGCCCGCTCCTCTTCGCCTAGCCCTGCCCCACTCTGAGCCCCCGCTCCTCTTCTACCTAAAAAGTTAATGGTTTCTCTCTTCCACAGTTGGATGGCAGCGTTCTTCTGAACGTACCGGGAAAGGCCTCATTTATGGCAAGCCCGGACACCCAGGTACTAAGGACCTCTTCGCCCGCAGAGTCTTATCAGAAGAGCCGGGTGTGCAGTGGCCCCGCTTAATGTTCTTCCAGCGGAGGGAAAGGGAGAGAGAGTTCACTGAACGTCCACCTGGTGCTTGGCACTCGCGTCATTTCATCCTTACAGCGACGCCTTAGTGTATCACCTGGCCTAAAGCCACACAGCTCATAAAGAGCTAGGATTCAGTCCAGATCTTTCTCTGATGCCACCTCACTTCCAGGTGTCTCTGCTGCTTTGCAATGTGCGAGGCCCACTCAGAGTGATTTCCAGGGCTGCAGGTCCCTCTGTTCGGAGCTCCTACACATCCTTTAAGGCTCAGCTCAAAAGTCGTTTATCACTGTGCTGACACTTTCCCACACTGCCCAAGGAAAATTGGTCACGCGGCTAGCTTTAGATAATTTGGGGCCAGTTCACAGCATTTGTCATGTTTGGGATCTCTCCATGTTGGAGCCCTTCCCCTTTTCCCCACTCCCCAAATTGTGGGACAGTGTCTTCTTTGTAGGTTTAGGGCCTGGCATTCAGTAGACTTTAAAATTAATATCCTGTGGGACTGCGTTGGTTCTAAGTAGAGTATTGCTGCCTCTACCAGATCCGAAACACAGAATAGGTAACTGCAGAAAATCTTTCCAGTATGCCCCCGCATAAGCTTAATTATTGTTCCCAAAAGAGGACATTTATAGTTAAATATCAAGTTCCTCTTAGGGATGACAATGATTATCTTGAGAATAGTTTTGCAAACAATTTCAAATCCTTTTCTGATCTTTAAATCAATTCCCTTAACCCTTCAAAGAATTGAGATTCAAGTGAGTTCTGAATCTGTACATTAAAATGAACTAAATATATCACGTACATTTTTATAAACAAAACTATAATGTCACAGAAAAAACTATCAGTCTAGAGTTTTAAAAACTTATAAGAAGAAATTTATATTAGCATTCTAAGTGTTACAATGATATGCTGATTTTTAAAATACTGAAATCCAAAAAGAACTACTCAGTGTGTCTTTGGGACAAAAGAAGGAAGTGTATTTCTTAATTTAATTTTGCTTTATATTATTTTATTTTGTCAGTGAAAATATATGTAAAATTACATCACAGTAGCCCAATCCTTGCCTGTATGGATTTTAAACGTGCTAAAAAAGAAACAGTGGACCCCACCTACTTATGGATTGGGCCTAATGAAAAGCCATTAACAGGTAATTTATTTGATCTTAGTTATCTTCTTAAATGATAGGGACTTTTTTTTTTAAAGAAAAGCACTGTCACTTATTGGGATGAACAAATTGAAATTTAATTTTAACTGTGGTTTCACCTGCTCCATACTTAGATACAGCAAATAGTGTTATATCTAGGTCTGTGCCTTATTTTCTATTTATGAAAAAAACTGAAGCAGTAATTTTTGTATCCTTCCCAGAGCTATATTAGTTCAAAAGTTTTTATAAAACCTAAGATTTGGGGCACTGGGTGGCTCAGTTAAGTGTCTGCCTTCTGCTCAGGTCATGATCCCAGGGTCCTGAGTCAGGGAGCCTGCTTCTCCCTCTCCCTCTCCCCCTGCTTGTGCTCTCTCCCTCTCTCTGTCAAATAAATAAATAAAATCTTTAAAAAAAAAACAGGGGCGCCTGGGTGGCTTAGTCATTAAACGTCTGCCTTCAGCTCAGGTCATGGTCCCAGGGTCCTGGGATCGAGCCCCGCATCAGGCTCCCTGCTCAGCGGGAAGCCTGCTTCTCCCTCTCCCACTCCCCCTGCTTGTGTTCCCTCTCTCACTGTGTCTCTCTCTGTCAAATAAATAAAATCTTTAAAAAACAAAACAAAGCAAAAACAAAATTTATCTTTGTAGCATCTGTATTGGAGATGAAGCATCTAATGTGTAATTTTTCATGTTGTTAGAAGAGTGTATTGGAATATTAGCATTATTAATTTCTGTCTTATGTGAGGAAATTGTGTAATACTACAGAGCAGTGTAATCTCATTTACTAGATTACCAGCATAAACCAATTGAAATTAGAGGCCAAGAAATGAGTTAAAGAAAACCAAAAAATATATATATAATATATATCCAAACTAAATGTATAAGTTAAAATGTGCCCATATTCTTACCAAAGATCATAAAGTCATATCTCTGCTTTACATATCTCTGCTTTACTATAATATATATATTATATATATATATTTTAAAGATCTTATTCATTTATTTGCCAGAGAGAGCACAAGCTGGGGGAGCAGCAGGCAGAGGGAGAAGCAGACTCCCCGCTGAGCAGGGAGCCCGATGCGGGGCTCAATCCCAGAACCCTGGAATCATGACCTGAGGCAAAGGCAGATGCTTAACCAACTGAGCCACCCAGGCGTCCCCAAAATATATTTTAAAAGTGTACTTATCTTATGTGGTTTTCCATAGAGTAATAACAGAATTAAGATTTTTTTTAATTCTTGAAGTTAAATAGTCCATTAATTTTTTAAGTTTTGTATTTATTTATAACTCCAAGTCTACTAAATAATGTTTGAATTGTTATATGTTAAATATGTTATATGTTAAATAACCAAGTATTTACTATTTCTGTTTAGGAAATAATCAAATAAATATAACTAAAACAGGAAAGCTGATGATGGAAGATTTTCTGGAGGCTTTTTCTGGACTTTATACATGTACTCTTTCTTATAAGACTGTCAAAGCGGAAACTCAAGAAGAAACGATAGTAAAGCAGAGATATGACTTTATGATCTTTGGTAAGAATATGGGCACATTTTAACTTATACATTTAGTTTGGATAAGAATTAAATGTATGGTCTCTTCATTTAGTGAAAATGAGTCTGTTATATATAATCATTATGACTTATGGAGTATTTTGGCGTGCAAACTCTTAAATTGATATCTAGATAGTGTGTCCTAAATAATCCTCTTTCAGCCTCCCACTTCCACCATCTGTACAATCTACTTTACCACAATTTTGCCAGGTCATTTAGAACTGATGTTTAATTCTATAAAAGCAAATTGATGATCCTTTTCACTGGACTAGTGCTGGCAGCAATGACACTTTCTGCAAATTAAGACATTCCCCCATCTTATTTTTTTTTATACTTTTAACTTATCTATATATCCAGCCATTTCTTCTCTTGTACTGAGTAGATAATATATCAGATGAAAACAACCTTTTTTCATTAAAGTTATTAGTTTTGTATATTTTTTGAGGACAAACTGGTAAAACATTTGATTAGATAAATTTCTATGCTGATTTGCAAGATTAATGAGATTTAATATTACATGTTATTTGCAAATTGTTTAGTAACACAATGGTAAGCACAATTGTTTTTATTCTCATCATTTTTTAAAGCCTATCGGGAACCTGATTATTCATATCAGATGGCTGTACGTTTTACCACAACGTCTTGTGAAGGAAGATACAATGACCTGCTTTTTAGAGTGCTGAAGAAAATCTTGGATAATTTAATCTCTGATTTATCATGCCATGTCGTAGAACCATCATATAAATGCCATTTTGTTAAAATTCCCAAACATGGCCTCATGCATGAGCTATTTATAGCCTTTCAAGGTAAAGAAAAAAAAATTAACATTTCTTTAATGTGAGATATCTTACAAAATAGTAAGCCTTAAATATTTGTTAAGCACTAAAGTATATTGTTGGTGCTAGCCTGGTTAAGGTTTTAAAAATTAATATATTAATTATTTACTTTAAACAATGATATATTGTTGCTTATCTTTTATTTTTTTACTTATTTTTTTAAGTAGGCTCCACGCTCAATGTGGGGCTTGAATTCACAACCTTGATGTCAAGAGTTGCATGCTCTGCCGACTAAGCCAACCAAGCACCCCAGTATTGTTGCTTATCTTTTAGAAGTCAGTATCATTTTATAAATACTATCCACCTAATATTTAATTTATAAATTCCCAAAAACTTAAATTGTGTTTTTGAAAAGAACCTATTAAAAGAGAGGAACCAAACCAAATTGATTTCCATTCATTGTAGTTACTTTGATTAGCCCCCAGATGGAGTGAAATCATAATGTATAAATTATTCAAATTGTGCACTTTACTCTATTACTAGGATTAGATAGATTAAGCACATGCGTGCATACGTACTGAATTCAGCATTCAAAGCTTTATTGGAATGGTTGGAACTTTTTAGAATCCTTTTGTGAAGATACCATTTTTTTCCTCTCCAGTTAATCCTTTTGCACCAGGGTGGAAAGGTGCATGCAATGATTCTGCTGACTGTGAAGATATCACTAATCATAATATCCTCCAGGTGAGAATTTCAGTGTAGGGGGCAAGTATTTGAATAGTTAATACAAGCTATGTAAACATTTTTGTAAATACTTCATCTTATTAATTTAAATGTTTCTTCAAAAATCGATTTCTCCGTGTTGTGAATATTAATAATAGACATTCTAAGCAAGTAGATTTAAATTACTATTTTAAAAAATGTAAAGTATTATTGATATTTGGTTTCAGTTTTTTAAGCAGAGATGGTGAGAGTCGGCTATATCAAGATGTTTTGGAATAATACATCTAGAATAATATATAGCTCCCCAGGTTAATAGTATGTATTTTTTCTATGATGGAAGGATGGGTCCCTGGTTTTTGTTTCCCAGATGGTAACTAAGTAGCGGCTTGAAGAACAGCCCCACAATCATGTAATCCTAGGTTAAACCAGTAGTTCTTCCAAAATTGTATCTCTGCTGGTCATAATTGTTGCTTTCCCCTCTGCCATTCTCAGAGGCTAAGGTCATAGTCTAAAAACTCCCTTTACTCTCCTGATCTAGTTCCTGAGCCCATACCCTTAATATTGTGCATGGCTTATGGAAAGCACTCAGTTAATATTAGTTATTATTAAACTCTGTGTTCAAAAAATAAAATTTACATCATTGGTTTGTAATGCTGATTAGAGAACAGTTTTGGTTTCTATTTTGCTTGGCTCTTTGGAATTAGAAATAATGAACTCTCAGTTATCCATACATGAAATAGACATGCTGCAAATAATTTAAACCTCAATTTAATTTTTCTTAACTATTGTACATATGAATTGACAATAATTGATAAGGTCAAGGCTAGACTAATTTTAGTATTAACACACAACTTTTCAGGAATTCATCTGTTGGATAAAGCATGACATGCTTATACTATATTTCATTGCCTCTGCTATAGGAGGATAAATTTGGTTCACAATTTAGTTATTGTACTTCTTTCTGGTATTTTAAAATCTTAGGCAAGAAATCGGATAGAAGAATTTTTCCGGAGCCAAGCATATATTTACTACCATGACTTTAATAAAACTATACCAGCTATGCATTTTGTGGACCACAGTTTTCAAGTAATACGTATGGATAGCTGTCGTCCAGGCTTTGGAAAAAATGAAGGTCTACACAGTAATTGCGCTAGCTGTTGCGGTAATTATAAAATATAAATATCTAAATATTTAGGTTATATAGTCAGAAGAATAGATTAATAATTCCCTTAGGATAATTGAATATAGTGATTCTTTCACAATAAGTTATATTTAGTAAAAGGGAAGTAAAAATTCAAAGCCCAAATTTCTAAATATAATCATCCTCATGTGTATTAATTCTTCCTAATGCACTCTTCTGTTTTATAAAACATTTCTATAGTATTCTGAGTTAAGCTGCTATGCTACAAAGGAAAACAACAGAATGGTCCTATCTAGAAAACAGAATTGCTTTTTCCTAGAAATAGGAACTCATAAATGGGGCACTAAAGATACTGTAAAATGCTGATATTAAAGGAAAAAATAGGATTCTAACTTTCTCCTACCTTTAAGATCATCAAATTACAATGTTTCAAACTCATAAATAGTCTTCCACAACTTAATTGGCTGAACATTACTCAGTATAACATAGGGTATAGAAACAGTGTGATACTGAAGGCAAGATTTATATTACTGGTATAAAATACTTCTCACTGACATGATAGTAATCTACTCCATATTTTTCCTTTGCAGTGGTTTGTAGTCCTGGGACTTTTAGTCCTGATGTTGATGTTACTTGTCAGAGCTGCATTTCCGTCCGTATTTATGGAGCTAAATCTTGCACATAAACTTCAAACAAAAATCATATTATGAAGACTATAGGTGAAAGTATTGTTACTTGCTTGTGGAGGTGGGGGACATAAGATAGTTTGTTCACATCCCGGAGCATCAGAGATCCATTAAATAAGACCAATAAGACCAAAACATTGGAAAACATACATTTTAGAAACCTTAAATGATAGTTGACATGGCATTTCTAAGAAGGAATCTAGTATCTCCAGTGGACAAAGGAAAATGTATTAGTGGATGATTTTCAATGAAATATGTTTTGCTGTTTACAAACTGAATCTGTTGCTCTGTACCTAAGCCTATATTAAGGTCAAGAAGAGTAGCAAAGTATAATATAATAAAAACTTTATACTTTCCATATATTAATTTGTTTGAAATCACTCTGATATGATATAAGGCATATATATTACCTTTGTAATTAGAACCAAAAAAGTTGTTTCTTTTGGTCCCTTTGCTTTTAGTTTGTGTTTTAAATAATTAGTTTTAAAAGTGTAGTGTTAGATTTATAGAATAATTGAGCAGATATTACATAGAGTTTCGTATACCCTCACCCCTCCCCAATTTCCCCTATTAACCTATTGCATTAGTGTGATACATTTGTTACAAGTAATGAACCAAAGTTGACACTATTATTAACTATAGTTCATAGTTTACATTAAGGTTCATTCTTTGTGTTATACAGTTGTATGGGTTTTGACAAATGCATAATGCCTTGTGTTTACCATTACAGTTTCATACAGAATAGTTGCACCACCCTAAAAATCCCTTGTGCTTTACTTATTCATCTCTCCCTCTTGCTCCAGAACCCTTGACACCACTGATTTTTTTAATGTCTCTCTGGTTTTGCCTTTGCCAAAATGTCATGTACTTGGAATTACAGTACGTAGACTTTTCAGGCTGGCTTCTTTCACTTAGCAATATACATTTAAGGTTCCTCCATGTCTTTTTGTGACTTGATCATTTTTTATTGCTGAATAATATCCCATTGTATGGATGTATGAAGGACATCTTGGTTGCTTCCAGTTTTTGGTGATTATGAATAAAGCTGCTGTAAACATTTGTGTGCAGGTTTTTGTGTGGACTTAAGTTTTCAACTCAATTGCATAAATATCTAGGAGCATGATTGCTGGATTGTATGGTAAGATTATGTTCAGTTTTGTAAGAAATTCCCAAATTGGTTTACCATTTTGCATTCTCACCAGCAATGAATATGTTCTTGTTGCTTCTCATCCTTACCAGCGTTTGGTATTTTCAGTTTTTTGGATTTTGCCATTCTAATAGGTATATAGTAGAATTTCATTGTTGTTTTAATTTGAAATTCTCTAATGACATCTGATGCAGAGCACCTTCCATATGTTTATTTGTATATCTTCTTTGGTTAGGTGTCCAGATCTTTGTTCATTTTTTTATTGGATTGTTTATTCTCCTATTGCTGAATTCTAAGAGTTCTTTGTATATTTTAGCTACAAATTCCTTCTCAGATACATGTTTTACAAATAGTTTCTCCCATTCTTTCTCTTCACTCTTTTAACAGTGTCTTTCATCAAGCAGAAGTTTCTAATTTTAGTAAAGTCCAACTTACCAGTTTTATTTTTCACGGATCATGCATTTGGCATCATACCTCTTCACCAAACCCACAGTCATCTAGATTTTCTCCTGTTATATTCTAGAAGTTATATAGTTTCATGTTTTACATTTAAGTCTAACATTAGTTTTTTGTGAAGAGTATAATTTGTGTGACTAGATTCATTATTTTACATATGGATGTAGAGTTCCAACATCATTTGTTGAAAAGACTGTCTTTCCTCCATTGAATTGCCTTTGCCCCTTTGTCATTGATCAGTTGACTATATTTGTGTGAGTCTATGTCTGGGTTCTCTATTCTGCTCCATTTATCAATTTGTCTATCCTTTCATTAATACCATGGTGTCTTGATTGCTGTATAGTAAATATTTTTTTTTAAGATTTTATTTATTTATTTGAGAGCGAGAATGAGAGAGAGAGAGAGAGCATGAGAGGGGGAGGGTCAGAGGGAGAAGCAGACTCCCTGCCAAGCAGGGAGCCCGATGCGGGACTCGATCCCGGGACTCCAGGATCATGACCTGAGCCGAAGGCAGTCGCTTAACCAACTGAGCCACCCAGGCGCCCCGCTGTATAGTAAATCTTAAATTTGGTTAGTATCAGTCCTCTGACTTTGTTCTTTAGTATTGTGTTATTCTGGATCTTTGGCTTTCCATATAAACTTTAGAATCAGTTTGTTGATAACCACCAAATAACTTGCTGGGAGTTTGGTTGGAATTGCATTAAATCTATAGGTTGCATTGGGGAAAATTGACATCTTAAATATATCAAGTCTTCCTATCCAGGAACATGGAATAGCTCTCTGTTTATTTAGATTTTATTTGATTTATTTAATCAGAGTTTTGTAGTTCTCCTTGCATAGATCCTGTACATATTTTCTTAGATTTATATCTAAATATTTAAGGTTTTTGATGCAAATATAAATTACATTGTATTTTTTAAATTTCAAATTCCAGATGTTCATTGCTGGTATTTAGGAAGGCAATTGGCTTTTGTATATTAACCTCATATCCTGTGATCTTACTGTAATTGCTTATTAATTCCAAGATGTTTTTTGTTGATTTCTTTGGGATTTTCTTTTTTTTTAAATAAGATTTATTTATTTGTGAGAGAGAAAAGGCGTGCATGGGCATGTACATACATGTGTGCATGGGGGAAGGGCAGAGGGAGAGGGAGAGAGAATCCTAAGCAGACTCTGCCCTGAGCATGGAGCCTGATTCCGGGCTCCATCCCATCACCCCAAGATTACAGCTAGAGTGGAAACCGCCTGCAGTGGAAACCAAGAGTCAGACACTCAACAGACTGCCATATCCAGGTGCCCTGATTCTTTGGGATTTTCTACATAAACAATCATGTTATCTACAAACAAAGACAGGATTGTTTCTTCCTTCCCAGTCTGTATATTTTTCACTTTCTTGTCTTGTCTTACTACATTAACTGGAACTTCCAGTATGATATTGAATAGGAGTGGTAAGAGAGGACGTCCTTATCTTGTTCTGGATCTTAGAGAGAAAGCATCCAGTTTCTCACCAGTAAGTATGATGTTAGCTATAGTTTTTTTAATAGATGTTCTTTATGAAGTTGAGGGAGTTCTACTCTATTCCTAGTTTGCTGAGAGTTTTTATCATGAACGGGTATTGGATTTTGCCAAATGCTTTTTCTGCATTTATTGATGTGATCATATGATTTTTCTTCTTTAACCTGTTGATGAGATGGATTGCATTAATTGATTTTCAAATGTGGAATAATCCTAGCATATTTAGAATAAATCCCTTTTGGTCATGGTGTATAATTATTTTTATACACTGTTGGATTTGATTTGCTAATCGTCTGTTGAGGATTCTTGCTTTTATATTCATGAGACATATTGGTCTGCAGTTTTTCTTTCTTGTAATATCATCTGGTTTTAATAATAGGGTTATTTAGTATTAATATTAACATTGTAGATAAGTGAGTCAGTCAGGATCCTCTTAGGAGACAGAAAACACAAAGTAATTTGAGCAGGAAAAGTTTAATACAAAGAAGTATTAACTATAACAGGATTAGAATAGCAAGGAATTGGCTAGTAAGTTATAAAGAGAGCCCTAAAGAATATAGGAATAGCAGATGTAAAGAGCAGCTACTGCCACTAGGACTGAGATAGAGTGTCCAAGAATGAGCCACCATCTCCCAGAGGAGACATCCAGACCTTACTGAAGAGGGCACAACCATGGGTCACTGAATGGCAGAAGTCACTGATGCTGGAATTCACTCTTTAGCTATAGTTTTTTTAATAGATGTTCTTTATGAAGTTCTACTCTATTCCTAGTTTGCTGAGAGTTTTTATCACTCTAACTTTCCAGAGATCCACCTTTTAGGGTGCCAAGGAAAGTTGTTCATGGGGTAATTTCTCACTCAACTACAAAACCACACAAGGAGGAGAGGTTTTTGCCAAAGCTGCTGGCCACCATGCACTGTGGGATATGAATACTGGAAATGTCTCAGGAGCCTGCCAAGGCAACAATCTAGAACCAGAAAGAAAATTCTTTTCCTCCTCTAGTGTCTCTTCAGCATCGTCTCTGACAAATTTAATGCTGTGCCAGCTGGTAAAGGAAAACATTTACAAGACCCAGATCCATTTTCACAAAACAGATAAAAATATATTTGGAGCTGAGAGGCAACAAATTAATAACTGACACAGTACGACCCTTTGACTATTCAGCTTCCATATACACCTTTCTACATACCTTTGAACATTTGTACATTGACAAAGAACTTTTATATTTCTACCTAAGAAGATACAGCTATCCATCATACAAGTATTCACCATTTCCTAAAAATATAGCAACACATAGTTCCAATAGTCATTGTTTCTATTGCTGACTATATTAATTATTCCTCAGATTCATTCACAGTCCCATTCTGTTTCCTAAGGACTAAATTGTAAAATTCACTTCCAACAACTTGAATATGAACTAAAAATCAGAAGAAAAAAGGGTAGTGAATTAAAATAACCATGAATATAACAATCAAAGAGAGAATATGCAAAGCACTTTGTTTCTGTAATTGGTCATGAGGTTGTAAATGGTATCTGTGGCTTCCTTCTTCAACTACTCATGCCGTCTTTTTCTTGGCCTCAGCCAGAGAACTTCAGTTGCTCCAGGTTCTTTACCTGGTGGAATGACCAAAACCTTCATTCCCAAAGGATATGGGTCATCATGTTCTGCCCTTTTTTATTATTGTTGTTGCTATGTAGTTTTCCATTAGCCTTTATTATTGGGCAAGGAAGAACTAAGAAACATCTCAGAAAATCTGGGTTCCAGAAACAGTCCTCCTTGCTGCCATCTTGTAGCAACTCAATTCTCCCTTGGTAATCAGGATCATTGTTCCAGTCAGTAAGTTAACACACCGCCTCCCTTTTTTCTGGCCTGTTGGATTCCGTTGCATATGGAGCTTAAATGTCCAGGTGGCAGTCTCATCTTCCAATTCAGGAAAGAACCATTGTTGTGTTTCCGGGTAGAAGCATTCCCCCACTTGAGGACAGTGATCTCCAAACTGGTAGAGCTTAAAGTTGCCAGGATAGA